ACATTCAAGTAGTAATAGAAGCAAGGTTCAAAATATTGATACATGTTGTAAACATGTAGGTTGCGTTTGGAAACGATGCAAATAAGTGTGCATGAAAACATGTAGAGTGTAAAACAGTYCATATAAATTGCAAAGTTGAGTTAGTTCTGCACTGACAATTACCTTCTTACTAAACAGACTTTTAGCTGTAATTGATGCAAACACAAATTCCGATAAAACATATGCCTTTTTTTAATCRAAAGCCCACTTGAATGTAAATATACTTCTTTTTTTATTGATGTACTTTTACATCTTATTATTAATGTAAGTTTGCATTGGAAAATGTGTTTTCTATCATTTGTCATTGCATAAATGTAATGTTGCCAAACACAAGCAAAAGTGAACCAAAGTGTAAATTTACCCTGAACCAGAATTTGCACTCCATTTGCATCATTTCCGAATGCAGCCAGAAGGGTAGAATGGAAGTATGGACCTTGTGTGTTGGTGCATATGGTACAATATGTATCAGTTTTTTTAACCCACCAACTAAACAATAGGATTTAAGATATGCACAACCACTTTGAAGGTTAATACCCTTCTTAGAGATGTCCTGGTTCTCTTTAAGCCAAGGTTCAAAATAGTGATAAGATATGCCACATATTGGATGTGTCGTCATATCTAGGGCTGGCAATCTTGACCCTAACCCATTTTTGTATTTATAGGTGARGATAGGTGGGTTAGTATGGGTGAGGGTAATTAAGGATCAATATGGATGGATCAAATGGGTAAATATGGGTGGATTAGGGTTAGGATGGGTTATGACCCTTTAACAAGGATTAATGATGGGTCATGATGGGTTGGTGGGTTGGTGGATTGGTATTCAACCCTTATCCAACCTACACATYTGCCACCCCTAATCATATTTTTAGTCCATAGAAACACCTAATAGGCAAATACCCATTGTTTCGGAGTTTGACCACTTTCAGGGGTAACCAGGCCCAAAACCAACCCTCAATATACAACTTTTTTGTATATCGTATGTATCAATACTTTGAATCTTGAATAGAGGAAGATTGAAATTAAAAGACCATTTATTTTAATTAAGATTGCATTGTGATTTTAATGACTTGAGCGACCCCGGGTGCATTGTTGCCCACTCAAGACATGATAATCAAGAATCAGCCCATTTTGCGGTTGGCTACCTAAACCCTTATTTTCTTCCCCTCTCAGTCATTTTCTTCCAAAAACAAGGTAGGAAGATCTCCACATTGCAAAAACGAAGGACCTCGAGTCATGGGTTTCAGGTCCTGTCAACTTCAATGGGACCTACTTAAGTAACTGCTACATATTCACATAAATCTGGAAGAGGATACAGAAACTGTGTTCTTGCATGGACTTATTTCCTACCCAGTACTTTGGGAAATTCCCATCTACTTCCTAACAAAGGTAAAAGTACTCATTTTATCGTGCTTGATGCAAAATTCTCATGACTAAGTTGGACCATGAGTCAGGCAGTCAGGCACAGTTGCCACAATATATAAATCACAAGAAGATGAAATACGAAATCATGCATAAATGTGGAAGTAAGCATGTCAAGGCTCTCCGAGATCATCTAAAAACTGAATATCAACATCCTGTTTTAACCATGTCTCCAACCAACTCTACAATCTGGACGTACCAAATTGCTTTTGGATGTCATTGAATGATATGGTAGCAGAGCCCCTTCTTTTGGCTTTCTGCTGTGATGGATGTTCCTTCCACCCTGTCATGTAGATAACCTACAGTATCCAGGAAAACATCATCGTTCGCAACATGCAGAACTTAGAATATCAAAATATACATTCAGACAACCATAACATTGAACACCATGAGGGGAAGGCCTCCTCAAATTAAAGGGGGAAATTGCAGAAGGTTTATCATGGAGTGCTTATATGTKAWCATCATGACAGTGTCAAACTATTTTGTGATACTTTTCATTAAGTAATCCATCCCTTCAAGTTCTAGTATTATTTTTCATTAAGTAATCCAGCCCTTCAAGTTCTAGTGTCAAACCTATTTTGTGATACTTTTCATGAACCTAGCCCTTCAAGTTCTAGTATTATTTCATCCTTGTTATCATCCATCTAACTTTTTCCACCCATCTGGGTAGACTACACATTCATTTTCCAACCTCACTACAACAGCATTTTTTCATATTTCCCTACAATGTTTTAAAAACCGACCCAGAGGCCGAACCGTTTTTGCCTCCGGGTCA